AAGGAGTTGTTCCTTATTAGAATTAAACATACCCCTCCCTCAGGCCAGGGATCTCTAAGGGGAGCTGTGGGCTGTCTTTTGCACATCACCTATGTAAACTGATGAGTGATGTTGCATGATAAATGCGTGTAGGAGCTCTGGTGGTGTAGTGTCTAAGGCATGTGACTGCTAAGCAGAAGGCTGGCAGTTCAAACTCACCAGCCACTCCTTAGAAGGAAGATTGGACCATCATTATTAATGGAGAATGACTCAAGGCATTCCCCTTAGGAACAAGACCCAGAGAGGAATGCCCTCTCTCACCACTTGTATTTAACATTGCATTGGAAGTCCTGGCCAGGGCAATAAGGCAAGAAAGAGAAACAAAAGGCATACATATGGGCAAAGAGGAATTAAAACTATCTCTATTTGCAGATGATATGATCCTATACATAGAAAACCCAAGGAACTCAATAAAAAAAACTACTGGAACTAATAGAGAGGTACAGCAAAGTGGCAGGATACAAGGTCAACGTACAAAAATCAGTTGGATTTCTCTACACCAGCAAGGACTCCTCTGGTAAAGAAATAAGGGAAACCATACCATTCACTATAGCTATGAAAAAGATAAAATATCTAGGAAAAAACCTCACCAGAGACATAAAAGACCTATACAGAGAAAACTATAAAACACTGCTACAAGGGAAGAACCTGCCTTGTTCATGGATAGTGGATAGGTAGACTAAACATTGTGAAAATGTCAGTACTGCCTAAAGCAATCTATACATTTAATGTAATTCTAACTTATTACTAATTTCATATGGAAAGGAAAAAGACCTCAAATAAGCAGAGTACTTCTCAAGAAGAAAACCAAGGTGGGAGGTCTCACACTTCCAGATCTTAAGAACTACTATCTAGCCACAGTAGTCAAAATAGCATGGTATTGGTACAATGATAGACCAATGGAACAAAGTCCAGATATAGGCCCATCCATCTGTGGACAACTGATTTTTGACAAAGGTCCAAAACCCAATAAATGGGGAAGAGACAGCCTCTTTAACAAATGGTGCAAAACTGGATATCCACCTGTAGAGAAATGAAAGAAGACCCACACCTCACCCCATATACAAAAACAAACTCAAGTTGGATCAAAGACTTAAATGTAAAACCTAAAACTATAAAATTCACCAAAGATAAAATAGGGGCAAATCTGGGAGCCCTAATAATTTATGGCATAAATAGACTGTCAAGCATAACCCAGAATGTGCAGGAGATAGAAGAGAAGCTAGATGACAGGGACCTTTTAAAAATTGAATTCTTGGGAGCATCGAAAGATTTCGTCAAAAGAGTGAAAAGAGAACCTAAAGATTGGGAGAAAATATTTGCCTATGACATATCTGACATCTGACAAAGGACTTATCTCCAAAATCTATAGAAAACTTCAACACCTCAACACCAAAAAGACAACCCAATTCACAGATGGGCAAAAGACTTGAACAGACACTTCACCAAAGAAGATATACAGGCAGCCAACAAACACATCATTAGAGCGATGCAAATCAAAACAATAATGAGATATCATCTCACCCCAGCAATAATAGCAAAGTTCAACAGATCAGATAGTAACAAATGCTGGCGGGGTTGTGGAGAGATTGGAACTCTTGTGCACTGCTGGTGGGATTGTAAAATGGTACAACCATTGTGGCAAACAGCATGGCGTTTCCTTAAAAAACTGAAAATAGAAATACCATTTGACCCAGCAATTCCATTACTAGGAATATATCCCCCAGAGGTGAGAGATAGCGCACAAACTGACATATGTACACCTATGTTCATCGCAGCACAATTCACCATAGCAAAGAGATGGAAACAACCTAAATGCCCATCAACAGGTGAGTGGATAACCAAATTATGGTATATCCACACAATGGAATACTATGCCACATTAAAGAACAATGAGGGATACGCAAATCATCTCACAACGTGGATGAACCTGGAGGACATTATGTTGAGTGAAATAAGTCAATTGCAGAAAGACAAGTATTGTATGAGCCCATTACTGTAAAAAGACAGAGAAGGGTTTGCTTGGGAAAAGGAACTCACCTAGTAGGTTACTGGGAAGGGGAGGGATTGATTTTGGGCTAGTCGGGGCCTACACACTGACATGGGTAGGGGGAGGGATATACAGGAAAGATCCATGACCACCATAATAAATGGGAGGACACTGAATTGTACACATAAGAGATAGACGACAGATGCTAACATCAACCAATGTGTCCACAATACTGCAATGCCATTAATACTAAACACTAGGCTATACAGATGAACACCTGAGATGATCAGATGGGAGTCAGTGAACAGAAGTATACTCTAGACTAAGGATAGATTCAGCTGAAGCTGATCTTGCACAGACACCAATGACACAAAATACCTGCAGTCCTTACAGAAACAATAGAAGACAGACACAAAGTAATCCCTCACAGACAACCAGACAGTAGGGGGGAGAGATCCAATAGATGTACTGCCTTAGAACCACAGTACTGGGGGACACCAGACTCAATTGGCACAATAAAATACATAAAAGTGTTGTTCCACACCCTACATTGGTATCTCGGAGCATGTAGGCATGTAGCTTTCAAGAGGCCATCTAAGATGCAGCTAATGGTCTAGTGTTGGAAGTGAAGAAGAATGCAACAACAACAACAACAACAACAAAAAACAAGGGCATTTAGAAGCATTCAGCCCTAGGACATGATGGCCCTTGAGACCAGAAGAACTGGAAGGTGCCCAGCTACCAATGCCAACCACTCAGGAAAGGATCAAATCTAGAGATCCTGGATAGAGTAGGAGGGAAAAAGTGGAACAAAATCCAAAAACTCAACAATGACCAGAATTACTGGTCAGATGAAATCTGGTGAGACTCCCAATACTATGGCCTTGGAATACATTCTGTGCCTGGAATAAAACTCACCCCCGGGGCTGGCTCTCAGCCCAATAGTTAACAAGATGTACACGCAGACCACTTAACACAGGATGACGCATCCACACACTCAATGGTAATACATCCCTTAGAGCAATAGACCATGGGACACCAGAGGACCAACATTCAAACTGAGGAAATGCAGGACAAACAGGAGTGCATAAATATGAGGGGAGGAGACTGGGTTAGGGTTGGACATGGGGAATGAAACTAAATGTACGCGTTATGTTGAATGTAAAATAAGCTCTTAAAAAGTAAGGTTGGGCAATCTACTTCCATAGAGATACCACCTTGGAAACCCAAGGAGGGGTCACTATGAGTGTGATGTGATGCCACAGCAGTGAGTTTTGGGATTTTTTTTTTTTTTGGTGGGCTCTAAAGATTACCTCCATTCAAATGCTGAAGTGACTGCTTTCAAACTGTGTGACCTTGGTCAAGTTACTTACCCCCTCAGGATCTCATCTCTGTAAAATACAGGTAAAAAAAATTTACTATTATTGTGAGACTTAATTGCCTTCACTGCTTAATTTAACAGGATGTTTGGCCCTCGTTAAAAAGGTACTAATCTGCTTCCATAAAGATTACAGGCTTGGAAACACTATAGGGCATTTCTGCTCTGTCCATTAGGGTCACTATGAGTCAGAATCAATTTGATGGCAGTGGATATTAGTCTTTCTGAAGCTTTGCTTGAAGCCCTTAAAATCAGTCACAACCCTTTCTGTCCTCTTACTCTATGGAAATAACCAACCATAGTTGATGGAGTTTTCCTCCACTTCTCAGCCTGTTTTCAAACCCAGAGTACTGGGGCATAGTTTCTGTTTCATGGGTGCAAATTGTTTTACTGTCAGTTGGCTTCTAGAAATGGGATTTCTTTGGTCACCCACCACTTACTGGAATGACATGGAGAATGAGTTCTATGCCACCAGTTGCAGTTGACTCCAACTCATGGCAATCCCTGTATGTCAGGGTAGAATTTTGTTCCGCAGGGTTTTCAAGGACTGATGGTTTGGAAGTAGATCACCACCAGGGCTTTCTTCTGAGGCACTCTGTTAGACTCACACCATGAGCCTTTTGCTTAGCAGCTGAGTATGTTAACCATTTGCACCACACAGTAAGCTCCATGTATCATGCATGAAGGGCATTTTTATTGCCTTCAGCCTTTGACAACAGTAGCATCCAGTTTAACACATTTGCAGTATTAGTGCTCATCATTATACCCTGCACCCAAAGAAGATAACCCTAAGAACTAACATTTTCTGAGAACAAAGTGGCAGTTCTAAAGTAAGCAGAGTTGCTCACAAAGGATTAGCTTTACCCTCATGACATCTTGGGTAGACATTCTGTTTTGTGTTCCTGTTTTACAGATGAAGAAACTGAGGCTTAGAAAAGTTAAATAACTAATGTCACTTAGAAATCAAGTTGCACAACCAGATTTAAACCTAGGCAGGCCTTACCCCCAAGTTTGACATCGCACTATCTATGTTAAAATTAGATAGTCACTGCAAAAAAGAAATGTTTTTGTTTGTAGAGTAATATGGCTGGTTGTTGTTATGTGCCATTGAGTTAGACCCAACTCAGGGCAACCCCTCCTTGGGTTGCCTAGGTGGTATCACTACAGAAGTAGCTACAGAAGTAGATTGCCCAAGCTTCCTTCCCAGGAGTGGCTGGTGGGTTTGAACCGCTAGCCTTCTTGTTACCAGTCAAGTGCCTTAGGCACTATGCTACCTTATGGCTGATTAGATTCTTTAAATCCAGAGTATGAATCCATATTTAAGAAACCCTGGTGGTAACTTTTAAGTGCTCAGCTGCTAACTTAAAGGTCTGTCATTTGAAGATACACACAGTGGCTCCATTGGAGAAAGACTTCCATGAAAATGACAGCCTAGGCAACTCTATGGAGCAGTGCTACCCTTTCATATAAGGTTACTATGAGTCAACAGTGACTCAGGGGCACCTAACAACAATCCATATTGAGCTTCATTTTGTCTACATTTGGAAGAAATAATGTGGTTGTCATACATATTATCTGGCCTTTGTTTTCCAGCTTCCATCGTAATACAGAAATGGTGGTGTCATATGAATCCCTGTTTGGATGGAGAAGACTGTAAAGTGCTGCCCGATTACTCAGGTTGGTCCTGTAGCAGTGGCAATAAAGTCAAAACTACAAAGGCAAGTATAGACAAAAACACAACTCTGATTTACAACTTTAACACAGTATTAATGACTATGGGGGTTTCCACCTTGATTTAACCCTGCCACTGAGAAAGCAGCATTATTTCATATTGATAAACCTGGCTTTCTCTAGCCTTTGTGATAGGCAGGGCCACCCCTTTCCCGGAGTCACCCTTGATGTCACATTTTGTGTATCAGTGATTTGGGGGTGAACTGGTGATTTTAGACGGGGCCTCTACACTCATTTCAGCTCTTTCATGAGCCCGATTTAGAGTTAAAGGTTCAGACTTGACAAGGCATTGTATCAAAACACCATGGCAAAAATCCACATACAGATGATAAACCAACCTAGAAATACCAACTGCCTTAAATGAACTTTAATTCAAATCTTACAAGCCAACAGAGTTTTGTCCTTCTGTTCTGTCTACTCACTTTTTTCATCCAGAAACCTAGCTTCATCATCTCCCCATATCCAACTATTACTTCATCCTTGGGATTTTTGGGATTTTGCTTCCCAAGTCACTCCGTGACTTTGTGTCACCATACATGAAACCCCTGTCTAGCGTCACCTGGACTCTTACAGTTGCTGCCTCACACCTGCTTTTTGCTACCTTCCTGTCTGTTCTCCACACCATGGTTACAATAATTCTTGTGAAATGCAAATCTTCTGAGCCAGTTCTTCCACAAATCTTTTAATTGCTTCTTATTCTTGGTCCAGTAGCCCCTTCAAGGCAAGGATAACCTGTAAAGCCCCACTCACTTTCTGCTCCAACTACATCAGCCTTCTAGCTACAGTGCCTTTGTACTTTGTAAGTGTTGTTCCCACTCCATGGGAATCAAGTTAGTCATTATTCTTTAGATAATTCCCCTGACTGGCTTCATATGTCCTGTATCTCGGAGCATGTACTGTGGCTCCATGGTTCCATTTAACACTGGTTGGCAAACCCATTGGCTTATTATTAGAGCTTTCTGTCTAGGTGGAGAGCTATGAGGTCAAATTTCCATGTGCCTATTTGTCTTACCCTGATAGCTACAGAGGCATTCAGCTGCCACTGGGACTATTTCTTGAATAAAAATTAATAGGACAGAGGCTACTCTGGGATTATTAGAATTGGACACACTAAAATTGAGTGACTCTTAGGTCCTTAGGAACTAAAATAGAGAGGGAATAGCTTCTTGCCTATATTTTTCCCTTTATAAAATTTTTGAATAATTAAACACTTAGAGTTCTCATTCATCTTTAACAACCAACCAATGTCAAAAGCAGGCCAGTTCTCTTCCTAAGCATATGCAGGAAGCAAGTCTGACTCATAGCGGCCCCCCAGAACAGAGTAGAACTGCCCCCTTACAGTTTCTGAGGCTATAAATCTTTACAGAAGCAGATAGACTCATCTGCCCTGCAGATGAGGGGGTGGTTTGAACCACTGACTTTTTGGATAACAGCCCAGCCAAATGAATGCCTTTAGTCACTACACCATCAGAGGTATTATAATAAATTTAAAGTTAAATGAAAATTAACTGACATCCTCATATATCCAAAACAAACTGTAAGTAAATATAATTTTCAAAATAAAGTTTGATTACCAACTAACCTGACCCTGTTGTTGTTTGCCGTCGAGTCAGACCCAACTCATAGCCACCCCTCCTTGGGTTTCCGAGGCAGTATCACTACAGAAGTAGATTCCAGGGAGTGGCTGGTGGGTTTGAACCACCAGCCTTCTGGTTAAAGTGCCTTAGCCACTATGCTACCAGTGACCCTAGGTAGTGATAAAATTGAGATAAGTAGGAAAAATGACTTGCTAGATGCTTTTACACCCAGGGCAGCAGAACTTCATGGGATGGGAGGGTAGTGATAGTGAAAAGGAAGGTTAACACTCCCACCATATCTGATATCTACTAGCTCCCCTTGTAAGTAAATTCAGTGTTTGCTAAGCAAACTCTGCTTGAAGGCCATGCTATTACCTCCACTCCATCCTGCCCTAGGCTTCTTTCACGCATTTTCCCCTAAATCCTTCCAAAATAAAAATCATGGAGTTGCCAATGAGCCAGGGTCTTACATTCATCACAAATTAATTAA